GTGCCAAACCTCACTGCTTCCTGGGAAGAAGCTTCAACCAAGTCTCTGCTAGGAGGAGGTGTGAGCACACACACCAGGAGCAGCACACCCAGAGAGGCGCCTTGTCTTCACAACATCGCGCCAGGGCAGCTCTGCTCCATTTTATAATGAGGTTAAGTGATTCTGTGCTGGAGAAAACTTCCTTGGCACAGAAAAAAAGAAGTTTTGGCTAGCACCAGCATTCCTCACTGTTAATCTTTCTAAAGCTACAGAGAGAGAGGATTTGGGAACTCTAATGACGACATGAACAACAACAACAAAAAAAAAAGGCTTAAAAGTTTGTACCGTTACCTGGTTATAGCTGGGAAAGGTTAAAAAGTAGTGTCTTCCACAGAGGGTAAGAAAAATACTGTGGATCTGTCTGCTGTAAGATATTTAGCCATCACTATTACATTTGTGTCTTAAGAAAGAAATTAGTCTCTGGAAGGTGATTAAAATTTGATAAATGACCATAGATCCTTGAAGATGTCTTTCAGCTGGTCTTTATCTCTTGCAGCCCAGACACTAAGCTGTCATCACACCAGCCAAAGGTGGGGGAGTTTTTGTTTGCTACAATCATAAAACTATCACTCTGTATTAATAGTTATCAGAACCAGGAGCCTTGAATACAGCTTTTAATAACAGATGAAAATTTTAAATCTATGCCTAATGCCCATCTGCTTCTGAAAGACAGTAAGATGATTCAAAGCTGGTAATCTAATCACAAAAGTCTTTTCCTGGCCAATGAAAAAAACCTGGATACAAGCTGTCAAAACAACCTCCTTAGCCATGTATTTTCTGCTGAATGGAAAACATACCTTACAATCTGTTTGCATTCTGCTCCAAACCTTTGAGGAAAACAAGAGATGCTGTTTATGTATTTTATCACAGCTTCTGTGTACATTATATTCTGAAATAATTCAGTTTATAGACATAATGCACAACAGTACAACTCCACTAAGAATTTAGTTCAGAAATAAGAGCTGTAAACTAAAGCTCCAAAACACACAAGCTGGATTACCAGAAACAAAATGTTCCTATTTCTAACAATGCCTTGTATCCCTAAAGTGAGGGTGGCAGTATTAGAAAAATGCCAACTTTCCAGGTCTTCATTTAAATGCTGCTTCTCTTTATGCTTACAAGTACCAAAACCAACAATGATCCCTGCTTGCTTTGGAATGTGTCCAGAATAGCAACCATTGCAAGCAAACCTACAAACTGAATTTAGAGCTAGATACTTCTAGCATTCCCTTCAAAGTTCTTCTGCACTTCATGATGCAGGAATTGATCTCAAGTCCTGACAGTCAGTACTCCAGGTTGCAAAGGGAAGTCCAAGAAACCCTGTGAAGGGAAGGCAATGTCTTTGAAGAACACAGCCCCTAAGATACTTCACCTAAATCACCAAATCTATTCATGTTCTTACTGCTAATAGTATTATTTCATGTTTCCCTCTTAAAAAATTTTGAGGGTAAAAGACCCTCATGTGCTAACCCAATGAGCAGAGGTGCCTATAAATAGCTTAACTTTTTTAAACTACTGTTTTACTCTTGACTTCAAAGGACCTCCCTGCCTGCCTAAGAGTATACAACAGGTCTAGGTATGTAGATCCAGTGTCTCCTGGGACAGGGACTCCACAGGAGATAGTTATGATACCCCTGCTGTGTTACAAGGAAGTCAACCACTTCATTGACTGCACATCTGAATACAGCTGCTACTCCAATTCCCTTGAATTTTTTTGAGCATAAGATGATGGAACAGCAATGGTAGAGGCTGCCCCAGACCTTGCAAGAACTCACAACCAAGGAAGCACATGGCTTTCACCCTCTGCTCAATGCAGAAGAACTGGTGTAACAGTCTGATAAGTGGCAGCTGGTGTGGGCTCAGGTCCCTTGCACAGGTATTACTAAGTATGGTTTACAGTGAAAATCTTCAAGGTGACCTGCATTTGGTTGCAGTCCTTGAAAACTTTTCCTCAGAGATCCATTTATTTGGCTCCAAAAATGAAGTTGTTGATCAGAACACACTTAAGCCCTGGTAATGCACTGGGGCACCAACACTAGCTCAGACCCTCAGTGACAAACAGGCACTAAAACCATGAGTCTTTTTGGCTGACTTGCTAGGCTCTCCTGGAGACAAGGGGAAGTCTGGATCCAGTCTCAACACCTTGCAAGGATAGGAAATAACCTCAGAGAAACTGAAGGGGTAACATATCCTAAGCTTCCCTCAAAGAAATGCAGAAAGGAGAAGAAAGGATTAGATTATTCAACACTGAGTAGCAAGAAGTCAGCTCATGGTTGTCACCTACCTCAGATTTCACAGGGTGGTCTTAAATGACAGAAAAGACTCCTTCAGAACTCACTTGGCAAACAACTGTTTCTGTTACAGAATTAAAAAGCTTAATATTAAAGGCTAAGACCAGAAGGCAGGTACAACAAGTAAATGTATAACAAATAAAGAAGTACAACAAATGAGACCAATAATTTGCATCTACTCATCATTAGGCCTCTTTGAACTGACAAAAAATTTACTATTATCTGACTTGCTAGTTTGTCTACGCAAATCCTAACTCAGCTTTCTTTAAAAGTTTCTGAAAACATATTCAAATATTAATAATAGAAAAATGAAAAAATTTTATAACAAAAATCTTGATTTATTAAAAGCTGGAACTGGTTAAAAATAAATCCCTGACATAAGGTTCTTGTTAACTTGAAACTGTAAGCATAAAAATACCCTAGAATTATGTTTTGGTATGGATGAAATGTACACTATATAACACATAAAAAGAGCCTTGACTTGCTGCTATTATTTTTAATTAGGCTCTCTAGCACGTATGGTTTTACCTTCCAACACCAATTCAAATTTGGGAAAAGGGAGAGGCTGACTCTCCAAACTCATGGGACTGGCAATTCCATGGCTCATGCCTTGGAGCAGTAATGCATTTTACATTAGCTCTAAGCATCAGGAAATCCTGGCTTCTGGCGCCAAGGAGTTCAAAACGATAATGACACACATCTGAAAACCAGGATTCGCCGTTCAACTGCCAGTATCTATTCTATCAAACAATTCAGTCCTGCTCTGTTACAAATAGGACAGAACATTTGCAGCAGTCCATGCTGTTTCCAATTAGACTGTGTGTCTGGACTGCAGATAAATACATGGGGCAATCATATCAAAAAAAGCCTTCCTAGAAAACAGAATCCTAATGGCAAATCTGAATATTTTGCAGAGCTGATCATCAACGGGTAATTACCAAGTTTGCTGTTAGCCAAACTGCACTTCTTCTCTTTTCTTTCTTGAGGTGAGCCTCTGGACAAAATGCCTTAAGACATTACAAGAGAATTCTACAAATACTTAATTTAACAAAGTATACACCAGATGTGTTTTGCTGCTCCCTTTAGCTGGGATGCAATCAGATGAAAACACAGCTTTCTAACACAGCTCCCTGAGAAGGGACTGAAATTCTTGGCTGAATGATCTACTTGAAGACAATCTTTTTCCCAGCAGAAAAAAAAGAGCATCTTGACTGGGGCTATACCTAACTTTACTGGCAACAAAGGAGTCTGCAAGCTTCACCCTACACACCTTTCCCCCCACCTTCAAGGGGGCATGAAAACTGTTGGGACCACATACCCATACAATGTCCTGGGTAATAAGAAATCTGTTGTCTCCTGGGTTGCGTGTCTATTTTAAAGTTAGAGATGGTAAGTCACAAAGAGAGACTGAGAGAAAGATGAGCCATGTGCTGCCCTTGAAGTCACCTGCATGCTTCAAAACAAAGGCTGTACATTTGGAAGCAATCAGCACCAGTATCCCATCCCCAAGCAGGCTCCATGCAAAGGGTTACACCCTGCTCTGAACTTGATCCTTACGGAGTATAAACACTTCCTTTTTTCGACAGGACCCACCTCCTAAGTCTTACTTTTTCTTCCTGATTTGAGCATTTTAGTTATTTTAATTTGTTCTTAAAAATGTCCCCATCATTTCAGTCTTGCTGAATGTTCAGCTTCCTGGTGCATCACAGGTAAAGAAACAACTGTAACCTTCCACTGCCCTTGAACAATTACAAGAAGGCAAACTAAGGAAGAAAAATCCCTTTTGCTTCAGCTCTACATACTGTGAATTACTCATATATTACAAATGGTGACTAAAGTTGTAAGTGATGAAAATAACCTTCTTCCTTTGGAAAGAAGAACTTCAACCACAGGGCTGGGCATGTCCAGAAAGCATCCTATTGAAGTGAATTCTGTACCTTGGTTGTCAAGTGCTTAAA